CTCAGAAGGCACTTTAACGAATGCTCGCACAGCTCTGTAAAACGTGTTGTCTGCCATGTTATATCCAAAGGGCTGAATTCTTTTGCAAGAAAGGACTGTAGCGTCTTTTCAAGATCTTCAACGTCTGCAATTGCATTATCAACTTTAATAAAGCGTATAATCTTCTCACAAATTTCAACGGAGTCCACCATGGTCTCTAAGCAGTATTTGCACTTCTTGAAAACAAATTGGACGTCGAATTTCTGAGCAAGTCTCAAAACGTCGAGAAGTTCATCAACACTAGCATTATCCAACGTATCAATTTTATACATTGCTTCCAGTAACATCAAATGAGTTTGTTCCTCACTTTCCGAGATCTGGACATGAACTTCGGGCGCACTTGAATCCTTCGTTCCCGAGTCAAACAAGGAACGGAAGTAGGGACTCTGCACGGCTAGCCATACGCCATGAACGTAGAATTTATGTTGGCGAATGATTTGTCCTTCGTTGGAAGAATAGCTGGTTGCTTCATTGCTGTCACTCGAAATATCTTTACTATGTCCGCTTTGCTCTTTATCATTCAGGCTGGGATACGGATCACTAGCATCATTTGCGGTCTCTGATTCATGCTGGTCTTTCATTTTGTTTCCATTGCCTGTATGTTGATTTATTTCCACGTTTTCGTTCAGCATGGTTTCATATTTGTTAGTGACTTCTATCTCGTTTGCTCCTTGAATTTCAGTGCTCTCCTCGTCATCAAATGGGGTGGTTTCATTCTCGTGATTTGTTGTTGCGATGCGATCATCTTTACCTTCATTGCTCAATTTATTTCCAATTTGTTGGTTACCTGTTCAAACAAGTACTCAATGTTTGAAAAAAAATGACCAATGTTGAACAGCGGTCACGGCATAGAGATATTAAACATGGGGAACCCTGAGGAACTCCTGCCTAATTTAAAATCGTTAAACCCTGCCAAAGGGGCCGGTCTCAATGTAATATGTAACTGGGTTTTGAAAGAATATGCTGAAATTCTATCTTCACCCATTTCTGAGTTTTTAAACACGTTATATATGAACAGAAGTTACCATCAATTTGGAGGAGTGCAAATGTGAAGCGTGCAATTACCGATATAACCAAGCATTTTAGGGGGCCACCTCCTTTGTATTAAACTCTTACCCCTCTCTTAAGTCCCCACCCCCACTCTTTATCATGACCCCTTCCCCCTCTATTAACCTCCATCTTCCTTCATTAAGTATCCACACTCTTTATTTTTTAGCTCTTATCTTCCTCTATTAATATCATTTTAGTCAATTTACTCGATTCTGATGGGTTAAAAACCGTGACAATTAAACATTAATTAGCCTGCATGGCAGGCGGTATTTCTACGGGCAGCGAAAATTAGGGAAGCAAAGGAAATACCGTCTGCCGCAAAACTAGGGGTTTTTGAATTACCCGTCCGCTGGTGAACGGGAAAAACGGATTGGTTAGTATTTTTATGCAGTTGTCAATCAACGGCTAAATTCGGTTAAATGTTAATCATTAACCAAATGTTTTGACGTTTTGAAACTCTGCGTTTTGAAATTAGTTCACGTCAAGTCAGACCAGAAATGGAATAACATAATAAAAGAAGCAAATTAAAAGACACAAGCTGAAAAATAACACTCTAAATAGTGTTTTTGATAGAGATTCGAACAAGAATATTTAACAAAGAAGATACGTCCGAAGGGGCCGAAGTTATGATCGGCGAAAGGTATGGGCTAGTCTATATTTTCGTTCAGACAATTACATGTGTATTAATTAAATAATATACGATCTCGCTTGACTTTCAAAGGCCATAAATCGCAATAATGTTGACATTTTACTAAAACTATCGATAGAAATTAGGAGATATTTCTTCACTGAATCGAACAGTGGGATTTTCATATAGGCCTATCATGTTCTGAACCAAAGATACTTGATAGATATTATATACGAACCTCCAAAGTATAAACAAGGGGCCGGTTGATGCAGTAATTATCAAATAACTGTTAAACTCTTTATATATACCCGTTGAATATGTATAGTTGTAAACAAATAAAAACTATCGTTCTATAAGGTTCAATACTTTCAGTTTGGTTGTTGACTGATGATGAATCTATAGTATAGACTTGCATGCTTTGTATTTTGAGCTTATTAAACCACCGTTTTAAGGCAGCTAAACGGGCTTGGTTTATATTAACACATAAAATAAATTCCTTGATTCTCATTAATACTAGACACAGTCTACACTTTGAAATGTCGAAGACAGTGGGAGATTTATTTTTTATATTTTATATTTATATAATTTATATATCAATAGTTCGTATCTCCACGAACAATGACAGAATGACTGGGTTTCTTTAAAATACAATGAAATTTCACTCGAAATTCTGTTTGTTTCAAATTGGAAGTTTAAAATGGCAATAAAAACTCTATATAAAATATGAAAAAATTAACTGTCTTGAATTATTTTGTCGGGCGG